GGGAATCTCTGTTGATCGTTGAGAAACTGTAGAAACAATCTACCGAGCTATGTTGTTGTAGCCGATTCCCTGGCTTTTTTCAAGACAGTTGGAAACTAACTGATACCGGGATTTCATCCAAACAAGCTAGATGAACAAAAAGGCTTCCCCTTGTTTTTGACCTTTCCTATGTTACATTTTTGTAGTATCTTTCTATTTTTATTCTGAACTATGGAATTTTGTGCCATCAAGAAACCAAGCTTTGAATCGTAACACAAAGATTTTTTTAATAGAACTGAAACCCTTTAAACAAAAATCCCCCTTAAGACTGTTCCTGTCAGTCCTGCAACAATCAAGATTAATATTTCACATGCTGCAGATTATGATTTTTATTGCTAAGATGGAAAACAAAGAATATGCGAGTTTGCCGCAGGTAAAATGATTCACAAAATATCTTAGCTAGTTTACGTAGAATTGAGAAATACTTGAATAAAGCAAGGCACAGTGTACTCTGATTTTCTAAATTGAGAAAACAAACGTCATTCAGATTTTCTTAAGTACTGTATGTTCAAGGAAAAAGTGCATGACTTATCTGATGAACTTAGAAAATTTGTTTATTTCAATACACAATACTCAGTACCTAGCTCATGGAAATGGATGTAGTGTTTGTTTTTTAGCTGTTTTTGCTTTTCGACAGGAGATAGCTAATGGAGAAAAACCACATGGTGACATCAAATGAGCCACCACAACTCAAAGAAAAGATGAGAAATTAAGATTTGCATATGTTCACATGTGAAGCTCACAATCATTAGTGAGGGATGCTGCAAAAAAACGCTGCCTCATTTCAAGCCTCTTTCCACCCATGGAAACAGCAAAGCCCCTTCAGGACGCTGGCTGAACTGGGCAAAAAATACTAAACCCTGCGGGCTGGTAAAAAGTACTGGATAAGGTTAAGGCCACATGGAATACAATTTGAATTACGTGATAAATAACTAATTCCTCATATTTTTAAAGTGCTTTGAGTCCCAAATTATCTCAAAGATATTAACATGTATGTGGGGACCCACTTCATCTACCACTGAAATGCCTTACCCACCTGGGTCACACATGGCAGCCTTTCTATGCTAGCAGCCCCACTGCACAGAAGATCAGGCAAAGAAATTAGAAATTACTGAATCCAACAAAAGGAGGTTTCTCAAGAGATACAGTATAGCCAAATGTAATTTAGGCAGGCTGAATTGTGCAAGCTCAATTTAGTCACGACAACACGTGATTCCCCTTACCCAATTTTTGAGTTAGGATGTCAGTTTAAAGTCCCACTTGAAGGATGGCACCCACAGCAATGTCCCCTGTGAGAGGTCTCCCATCTCAGTCCTGACCGACCAGGCCCAGCCTTGCTTGGCTTCTGAGATCCAACAAGATCAGGCCACAAATTGATAACGAAAACGAACAGTACTGAACAGATCACTTCCTACAGGAAATATTTCTTTGGACTTTCTTGTTTCTTGCATTGACTAAAATGAAATTCAAGCCATTTCATAGCAATGCTTTTCAAAACTGCACCATATTTATGAGAATTCAGCAGTTTGTTTGTGGTTTAGCAATTGTGCTGCTTCACTGGTCTTGAATCTTTAATGGTTGTGATTTTTGAGCAGTACTGCCTATCTCTGAATTGCAGAACTTCCTCTTTTGCGGGTAATTAAATTCAACATTCAAAATACTGTTTTACCTGACAAGGAATGGCCCATAAAACACCAGTGGGACGGATGCCAAATAGCCAAAACAGCCTTGAATTTGACATAATTCAGCCTTTTTCTGGGCAAAGTGCCCCTAGCCACAGGCAGATTAGTAGTTCTGTATTTTTTTGCTTTCAAGAAGACATATTGCAAGCCTACTGCATGGTAGAAGAAAACCTTTTAGCTTTCATCTAACACACAATTACAATTTTTTGTACATGGTGCTCGAGACGTAGTGTTCAAGAGAGCAGACTATGCAGGCCCATGAACATAGATACAAATATAGATACAAATAATTATTAAGTGTTTCTTTTTGTAAAATCAACGCACTTTAGTTAAAAAAATGTGATTGTTTTTAGCAGTGTAAGTTGTGCTGGTTATAGTAGTAGCCATAGAATTAGTATTCAGGAAAGAGTGGCTGGTATTTGTGTAAAATAACATTCCCTTCCAAGCTTAAGATAGGAGTCAGCAATATAACATGGACAGTGCCGCATGCCAGTCTGAAGTGCTCTCCCAGTGAGATGCAGATTTATATGCTTAGAATAAAGTCAGTTTCATTATTGTAAAGCATGCAAGATGGGCTGTAAATTAGTGAAGGTATTTAAAGCTTTTAGATCCCATCAGTAGCAGCTTTGGACCTAGGTACACTGAAGACAATTCAGTTAACCCAATAATAAGTTCAACAGCCATAAGGAAGAACTCAGATGGAAGGAAAACCAGAGACTCATGTGATGCTGAGGGCCAGATGGGAGGGCCACTGGGAAAGGACAATGCTAAAGCAGGATGGCTAAGCACAGGCTTTGAGAGAGGAAAACCACAAGGCCCATCGGCCTCCAATAACTGACACATAGACGATGCCCTGATCATTTCAGATCTGAGCAAAATGCAGCCCCTCCACAGCTATTCAAAAAAAGGCCTGCCTATTACTTTCAGACAAATGCCTACCATCTAATCGAACTAACTACATCATGCTTGTTGCAGACCTCTGGGTTTAAAAGCATGTCCTTATGACAGGATCCTTTAGCTTTGTCACAGCATTCCTTCTAGAGAGAATAATGTGATAGCCATGACAGGAAAACTCCTCAAGGTCAGGAAGGAATGCTAACAGTCCATGTCAAAGCCTCTAAGATATTTTTAATGGACTTCTTCATCCTCCTTATCCAAACTGAAATGGAATCTGCATATGTTCCTATCTTGTAAGTTTATCACACCTCACCCGCTTTTCACCCTGCATGTGCATTTGAGAGACCACAGGATAAACAGCTTCACTGCCCGTCTACAGAGTGGATCGCCTCTGAGCTCCAGGAGGAGGGGAGTCTCTGAATACCATTTGTCCTAACAGAAGAGAATAGTGAACTATAGCCTAAAGGACTGCATATGTCAATGAGGTGAATTTTTTTAAAGGTCATTTATGGGAATATGAGGATATGTGCCTTCAACTGTGTTTTTTCTTTAATTAAAAGTAACTTTTTTAAAACTTTCTGCCCAAAGTCACTACAGTGGAAATGCTTCTGAACTTATGTCAGCCTCCACGAGATGCACTGAACTCTCAACTGCACAAAACAAGACCACGATCAGCCACTGGGGTTACTTTGGTCCATGCAAGCAAACCTCACTATCTAGAACTGCCTGGCTTTGATGGAAACAAAAACAACCAAAGAGAAGTTTTCGATCTGTAAGTCAGATGCTGAAACGCAGAACGAGCTTGCCTTTCACATTGAAAAAACTTAAATCTCTAGGAAGGTTATGTTTTAATGTTGCTTTAAGGTATGAAGCCCTGAACCGCTTAGCAGTCAGATCAAAGAGTTAAGGAGATTTCACCTCTACTGCCTGTCTTAAAAGCTTTAGAAAAAGGTAGATACACAGTTTTGTACTGCCACAAATTCCTTCACTGATCGTATCTGTGAGCAAGTTTAGATAAGGTTTACCTTTTCTAAATCTATTTTCTACAATATTTTGTTTATACAGGTAATCTTCCCAGGAAGGACTTAAGAATTCCAAAATCCAACATGTCATACTGTACTGTACATATATGCACTGATTAGTAGCTCACATCTCTGTTGGTGTATCATCATCAAATTAGTAATTTTACAGTTAGCTGGCAAAACCTCTTCAGTGGTTGATATTTTAAAGCCCAGTACTGCATTATCATTACTATTCAGCACAATCAGTTTGAACTTGACAAGACAAAGTCATTTGTTTCAAGTGCTCCTTTGCCCCCTGGAGCATCTGCTTCTATCATGCCACCACCATGGGCTGGACGATGGGCTTGAGAAGACACTGGTGACTCTACATTGCCAAACAGTTTCCTGTCTGTGGTCAATTTCACACTTGTGACAAGAACCCACTAATTTGATCTTTTAAC